TTCATTGGTTTCCTTTTCCATGTAAAATGAAACCTAAACTCTGCCTGGCGAGTCCTACATGGTCCAGCTCCCCTGTCTCCCTCTTGTATCAAGTTACTCCTCCACCCCATCACTAAACTGCAGCCACATGCCTTTCCTTTCTCAGACATTTTTGATTACAAGTGTTTGTGCTCCTTATATCTTCTGTGTAGCATGGAGAACCCCAATGGCTGGCTGCTTCACATCCTTCAGAAGAGTATTATGTAATAGATGCTAGCACAGTAGGGGTGACAAACATATTTGAAAGAATTTGAGATTTGATGTTTTGTTTAAATATTCAAAATGGTCAACATGGGAAAATAAGAATCCCTTCGTAAGTTTTGAACCATGTCAAAATTCTAGTGTTCCCTCCAATGTCTCGGCCTAGCATAGGTACATTGCTTCATTTGTCCCAACCCCAACAATCCAGAATCTTCATACTCCAAGTATGGGTCTTTGTCTAGCAGCTTCTCCATTCCCTGGCAGCTTGCAACAAATCCCTTCTTGGGCTCTATTCTTCCTTGGTGAATCTGAGTCTTTCGTTAAACAAGCTCCCCAGGTGATTTGTATGCACATCACAGTTTGAGGTGCACTGCAGTAACCTTTTCAGGAAAAATTTTAAAAATTCCCATCGCAGCACTCACCACTGCATGAGTTAGCCTGCATTTTCATTCATTCATTATTTACTCTCCGTCTCTTTCCTCCCCTCACTTCCCACTAGACTCTGTATTGCAAAATTGGGACTTGTCCATGTTGATAACTGTCGGCATCTCCAAGGCCTATAATATGTTTTCAAATGTTTTTGGAAGACATGAATGAGCAAAACACTCAGTAATTACTATTAATGAATTTCTTTTATGGATAACTTTACACCCAAACATGGCCTAGTTTTTATTTACAAATTTATGCTGTGTATTAGGATCCCCAATGACTCACTGTTTGATTCTTAAAATAACCGAGAAGGTTTTAGTTGTGATACAGCAGGAGATGACTTGGATAATTCCTCAAAGATCTGAAATTCCTGTTCACTCTCTCTTGGATGCCTGTAATAGCTTCAATTAGTCCTTCTTGTTTAGACCTTACTCCTTTAAAGCCACCTTTCATGTTAAGGGTAGGTTAAGTTTGTGGTACAATATGAAGGACATGGATTTGAATCAGAAAAACTTGTCCTACCTAATATTTTTTAATTGTGCCACCTGGGAAGTTAATTATCCTTTGAGTCTGTTTACTCATTTCTCTAATGGATAATAAAATTTGCTTTCCAGGGTGTTAATGAGGATAAGTGGGCCATTGTATTCAAAGCATCTAGCAGAGTAAGTTGATCAGGAAGGATTTGCTCCTCGCTTTCCCTTTTACGTTTAATCATGTCACTCGCTGCCTGAGCAGACAACCAGCCAAAAGAAAATAAGAAAAAGTTCTAAAAACTTCCAAGACCTCAAAGCATTTAAATATCATTTACATGAATCCCTCTGCCTGATATAATCTGGCCAGGTTGCCAATTCCTGTGAGTTTCTCACTCTGCTCTCCCGCCCTCCGCCCCTTTTCCACCTGAGGAAGATTGATAAGACTGTCTTCTGGTTGGCTCATTCCTTTCTTGTCTCCAGAATATTCCCTCTGTTTTCTATTTTAATTGTACTTGCCCACCGAGGTACAGGATAAAATCCCAAGCGTTCAAGAAGTATTCCTGGAAGCAAAAGATCAAGCTCTTTTAGGAAACTCGTGAGTATTTAGAGTTTGTATTGCCAATTTAATTATAAAGTACTCTGTGTTAATAATAATTGAATTCTTTCATGTTTGATATTGTTCTGCCAGCTAGGATATAAACTTTCTGAAGATTGGAGTAGTGCATTATTTTTATTTATTACACAAAATGGGTGGCAAAAGACTGAGTCATAAACTTTGTTGACTGTTTGATGTCCAATTTTTTCCAGCTGCTGTTAAATTACTGAGTACTTTTCAAATGCTGTTGATTCTGTCTGAACCACATGGTTTTCCTCTGGGAAGTTTTAAATCTCAGTCTTGTTCTCGAATTTCTAGAACGAGGGTTCTAGGTTCGAATGCTCATAGGGCTCATGAAGGCTCCTAAGTGAAAGAAGCCGGCTGTAAGAATGCAGAGATGGATGTGGGGTGTGGATCACAGGCGCAAGAGGGCTCACTCCTGAGGTGTGTGCTATGCAGGTCCAGCTAACTACTGTGTGGAGGAATTTGGGCTCCCATGCTTTCCTTGGTTACGTGAAACCCCAAATCTTGATATTTATGTAAAATTTCTCAGATTTTTTAACTTTGAAAAATATTTCAAAACAGTGCAGGCAGAATCAAACATATCTGTGGGGGAATGTGATTCATTAGGGCAGGGAATTTCAACCTGAGTTGTAAACCAGAATCACCTGGGAAGCTTTCAAAAATCCTGATATCCTGGCCACTGACCAAGCCAATTAAATCAGAAACTCTTGGGTGTTTCTCAGGTATCAGTATTCTTTAACTGCTTCAGTTGGTTCAATATGCAGTGAAATTTGAAAACCACAGTCTTGGAGGCTTCTGTCTATCTTCCGCATTTCTTTTGCAAAGTTAGGATTGGCATTATTTGTAAAGAGTGAGACCTCAGATGATCTTAGTGTGACAGGATACCTTAATTAGCATGGGCCTTAAAAAAGCCAATTCCGTGTCTTCTGCCCTATTTGCCTTATAAATCCTGCCATGTGGTGAAAGTTCTGGCATGTTCATCTGATTTCATTTAGTCACTTGCTATCTTGCTACTGTATTGCTGCATTTAAATAAAAAAGTCATTTTTGTGTGTGTTTTAGAAATAAATGCTAATTTATTTAATAAAACTTAATTTTTATAATGTTATTTATGTTTATTCTCAGGATTTTCTGCTTTCTCTCTCTCTCTCTTTTTTTTTTGTAACCAGCTGTTTTGACAATGAATAGTTTCAAATTATATGTCCAAGGGAAAATAATTAGTATTGTAACTATTTTGCAGTCCCAATACTCCATGTCTGGCTAAGAGTAGCTTCCTAAAAACTTAAAAAAATCCTTGCAGATCTAAGGGAGTGGATGTATATATAAAAGCAAAAGGTAGAGATAAGGGCATTAAAGTACATTCATTTATAGCTATCCATTTTAATCCCCAAAGTCTAAAATTTCAATCCCTCTGTGGTGTGTAATTCTCTACCCTTTGATTTTGCTGATTTGGTTTGATGTTACCTCTTCCTAAAGATTTCAATTTTTTAAAAAATAGGTATTCTTAATATGTGTGGCCATTAATCCAGCACTGAACTTATGTTCATCACTTTTATTGTTCATCCCTTAAATAGCCCAGAGGTTTCAGCCACACAGTTGTGAATAATTTAAATAGACAAGATATGTCTACAATAAACTTTGCCAGTCTCTTGAGCCTATGGTTTAAACAGATTTGTGTTCTTTTTTTGAAAAAAATTTTAATTGGCAAAAAGTGTATATATTTATTATGTTCAAAATGATATTTTGTAATATGTATATATTGTGGAATGGCTAAATTAACATTACTTCACATACTTATTCTTTTGTGGTAAGAACACTTAAGATCTACCGTCTTGGCTCAGTGCCTGTAGCTTGGCGGCTAGGATGACAGCCACATGAACCAGGGCTGGCGGGTTTGAAACTGGCTGGGGCCTGCCAAACAACAATGACAACTGCGACAACAACAACAACAACAACAAAATAGCTGGGCATTGTGGTGGGCTCCTGTAGTCCCAGGTTCTTGGGAGGCTGAGGCAAGAGAGTAGCTTAAGCCCAAGAGTTGGAGATTGCTGTGACCTGTGACACTACAGCGCTCTACCTAGGGCAACGTAGTGAGACTCTGTCTCAAAAGAAAAAAAAAAAACCAAACTACCATCTTAGTGATTTTCAAGACTACAAAGATAGTTATCATTTTTACATTCCATCTCTTGAATTATTCCTCCTATTTAACTGGAACTATGTATCTTCTTTGTCTTCTTTTTGGGCAGAAATTTTCTAGATTTTGTCAATGTAGGGATTGCTGGCAAACAGCAGATTTGGGGATTCTTACAAACTATAGAGGCATTTCATTTTATGAAATTACAGTGTAACAAGGAAACCATTATGATTGTGGAAACTTTTAATCTATGATGACCTAAGAAATATAGAGAATAAAATCCAATTGCCTGAATAGAAAAGAAATTCTTAGACTCATTATGAGATATTAAAATCAGAATTACAAATACAAAAATAACTGATAAAGAGTTATAACAATTTGGGAAATTATGATGAAATGTTAAAGTTTCTTTTAGATGAGATGGAAATTATATGAAAGCTCAGAAATTTGAATTATATAATAGTGACTGTTAAATTAATGACTTAATTAGGTTACTTAGATATGTATAGTAAAATTTCTAACTAGTTCAAGAAATGTATATATATACATAGACAAATGTGCATATATAACTAAAGCTGTAAAAAAGGCATAGCACATTAACATTGTATTTTAATCTGTCTTATGGAAGTAATGAAACATGAGTGAAGGGTTTTATATCTTTAAACTGATCCTGGCTCAATGTTGCAAGTGTATTTTAATTAACAGCTTCATTTGTGGTAGCCTCTTGTATCTAATTTGAAGTAGTCTCATTAGGTCCTTAATAGTTTAAGTCTTATTCTCTTGTCAATCACTTTTCAAGCTCAATTAAAAGGTTTTTTAAATGGTGTACGTGTGTTTATTACATTTTCTCTCCGACTAGGTTACACATTGCTTGAATGATCACATCATTCACATTTATCTTCCTCTCTTTGCCTAGCATGGTACTCTGCACATCATAGGTATTAAGTAAATGCTTTTGAAACATGGTGAACTCATCTCTGCATATAATATAGAAATCATCATGCCATTTGTAACTACCCAACTCATTGCTGAGATGAAATAAAAGAAGACTGTTTTGTAACCCATCCAAGAAGAACAACAGAAAGAAGAAACTATCAAAGACTTACTCTGTAGTCACTTGACGTCACATAAAATATTGGGAGGAAGGCCAGCCAAATGATGCAGGTGGTGTACATGGTAAATCCTATGAACTTGGCTTCATTGAAATTTTCTGGGCACTTCCGCGTTTTGAAGGCATAAACAGTGCATAAGATCACCAGGATCACATCGTAGGTAAGAGAGATCAACATGCTGGAATCTTTGACATTGCATTTTAAGATGACCGTTTCCCGCTTCTCTGGAAGGGTATACCTCCTGGTGCCTGGAGTCTCCAGGATGAGCCACACAGACACCATCACGATTTGCACCAGTATCAGACCCAGGCAGATGAAAACCTGAGAACTGGGGCTGATGAACTTTGGCCTTTGAGCTCCATTCTTGACCCCATCGAAGATGCGTGCGATGCAGTTTGTCTTGGTCAGCAGGGCTGAGTAGCAGACAGCAAAGGAGGTCCCCAGCCCCAGTCGGCGCAACGCACAGATGACTGGTGATGGCTTGGCGATGAAGAAAAATGTCATGCAATATGACAGGCCAACTCCAAACAACAAAATGTAGCAAAGTTCCCGGCCTGATGCTTTGACCAAGGGTGTGTTGTTGTGCTTGATAAAAACAGTTACAACCATGCTTGTACATATAAACCCCAAACAGGCAATGGTGACCGGGCCAATAGCCCAGGCATCTTCCCACTTAATGTAGTCCTCGGGAAGATCAAAGCATCCAGTGAGGTCTGCAGTGGGCCACTGCCCGGGCCCACAATCCATACAGGTAAACTCATCAGCCAGGTATTCGTAGGGCTCACAGGGGATGCAGATCCAACAGCAGACATCCCCTGGTTGCATGTTCTTCATTTCATTGGGGGCACAGGGGTCACTGCACTGGGAAGTGGGGACTGAGTTCCGGGACCAGTGTATGGAATCGACGTCTAGTGATAAGGTTTCTGCCCAGTGACCAACCTTCAAGTAGGAATACTTTCCACCCACATGTTGGAAATTGAACACGTTGTATCGCCCCATTCCATCTCCATAAGTGTCAAACTTGACGATGCTATCTGCATCTTTATTTGGATTAAATGGAGCTGTGATATGTAAAGACAAAAAAGGAAAAAAGGAAAAGAAAAGAACACTTGTTTAGATATCTCATGTGTGACCAGGCAATTACTTTATGTCATACTTAGCATAGCAAAACTGAAATAACAGAATGGAGATTCCAAAGCTAAAATCACTTATTAGTTATGATAAAGGTACACATCAAAAGCTACTTGCATACTCAGGCATTCATAAATTGATTCAGTTAACATTATTGGGTGTCTAACAGGTACCAAGTGCCAGTGACAATCATGGGTACAATACAGTGCTGCCTTCAAAGGAACACTTGGAAACATGCAGTCTTAATCTCTGTGGTGCACAAATATTCTGTTCTTGAAAGATTTTATGATAGGAATAAGGGAAAATATTGCATCTCATTCTTATCACTTATAGAAGAATCTTTATAAGTTGGGACTATAACTAACTGGTCAACATATGGAGGTGGTCAACATAGGGAACCAGGACTACTCTACTGTTGTGTACAAGTGGTCCATGTCTGATCTCTGAAAATTAGATCAACTTAAGGAGTGGTCCACGTAGGAAGATGATGAACTGCGGAGGTTCTACTGTATTCATTTATTTACCGCCCCCAAGATGTTTCTGATCTAAAACATTTTCATAAAATATAAAGTAATTAGAAAGAGTTTTTCTCCTTCAAAATGAAGAGAATTATCTTATTATAGATGTAGATATGCTTCTTTTAAATAGTTCAAATGACTCAGAAAAAAAAATTACAACATACCATAATCCTTTGACTATAATGTTTTAATATTTTGGAGTATATTCATTCTGACTAAATACACACATGTGTCTCTATAAGTGTATATCATGCTCCTATCCACATAAACAGATAAAACTTATCTGTATATAGAATCTAGGTAACTATGCTTCAAAGTTCCTTCTTAAGCAAACAGAGTTCATAGCATTCAGCCAAACAACCTGCTTTTAACCTCTTCCTTCCAGTTCCCTGTGAGTCCCTAAGAGCAGCAGGTCTCTGAGCATCTGTGCTTCCTCTTCTACTGGCTGCGCATCATGGCTCTCTCGCCAATGTCCACCACCACTCTGATCAGCTATTTCTATGCCATCTACTCTGGTATACTGTGTGCTTCTATTTCACACTGTTGATCTTTACTCTTTCCTTGACCTAGAAGAATAATATTGCTGATATCTGTGTGAAACACAGAAAGACTCTCTATCATCCATGGTAGGATTGCCCATGTTGGTAAAGACCCAAATGGGAGGTTTATTTATCCTTCATGTAGCAGTCTAAGGTGTTAGTCTGTTGGTGTCTCTCTTCCACATGGCAATTAAAAAACACAGATTATTTACATTTTGAAGCTGTGCCAGTTCCCACAGCCTCCTATTCATCAGTATCCATTCAGTGGAAGGAGAAAGAGTATAAGGAAGGTATGGCACATATTTTCATTCACACTTCATTGTTTAAAAGTTAGTCACAGGGACATATCCAACTTTAAAAGATGGTGCAAAATGGAGTTTAGATACTGTGCTTAACTACTGCTATGCCATGGAAGGAGACATTGGAATTTAGAGGACACTCCTGACCCTGGGGGTGTTATCTCCTAATGAGCTGTCTTCTTCTGGGCCCAATTGTTTTATGGAGGAAAAGTGTCCGTCAATGAATTATTTGGGTCCTTGGTAAAAGGATTTCATTTACAAAATGGCCCTCTTTTCTAAGAAATATAGCATATAGGTGCCCCTAGGGAGCTATAGTGGGTAATTTATAACGAAGTCTCATACCCCATATAATGTAGCCTAACTTTGCCTAATTTATTCCTCATTTATTGTGATTTTTTTCCTCTAAATTTTATTGTTATTTCACCCTATAATTTGACTTTACCAACCTTCACCTCCTTCTGCAATATTCTAAACCCACCATGTATGTTTGTGTGTGTTTGTACATGCATGGATTGGTTTCAGGTTCATTACAAGAATGAGGTAGTAGATGCCTTTAGGATTTTGAAGTCAGATGGACTATGTGTGATTCTCACCTCTTTTAATAATTTTGTGTCATTTAGCAAGTTAACCTTTCTGACTCTGTTTCCTAATTTGCAAATAGGGAATAAGAATTATTTTGAAGATTTGTTGAGATAAGCCATGTAACATGCTAAGCACGGTGCTTGGTATACAGTAAACATGTAACATAAAAGTTAGTGATAATAATTATGAGGACAAAAATAATAAGATAAAATAACTTCATGAAAAAGAAGAACTGAGTAAGAAGGAAGGCCAAGTTAGGAAGAGGGAGATATTATTCAATTGTCTGTACTGCTTTAACCAAGATTTGTTTCTGGCTCACTCAGGACCCCGGTCCTCCCACCCTTACCCTGCACTTCCAATATGTATGCAAGATTATACTTTTCTATTGTCTTATAATGTAGATTTTCCTTAATGAGCTATTGAGGATATTTTTTCTTGCATATATATCTTTATTTTCAATGGCTTATACTATAATTTTTTATAATTATACTATAATTTTGCCCATGTATACCAAGCTACTTAAACATTCCTATAGTTTTAACATTTAGGTTATTTCCATGGCTTTGCCTTTATTAACCTAATTATCTGGTGAATTTCTACAGCAAATTCACAGAATTAAAATTGCTGAGTCAAGATAAAATTAATGGGCCAATAGTTAGCTACAGGGTACCAGGTTGCCATTCAGAATAGGTATTTTTGCTTGCTTTTGGTTTTCTTGGTACCAATTCACATGCCCATTAACATTATACATTATAGCCCACTCTCCACAATCTCACCAACCCTGGGTATTGTTATTGTGTGTTTTGTTTAAATTTCAGATTAATATAAGGGTATATACAATTAGGTTACATTGTTTGTATTTGTTAGGTAGAGTCCAAGTTGTGGTTGAGCCCTCCCCCCGGAAGTGTGCCATATTAGTATTGGTCTTTTCAATTGTTGGCCAACTGATAGGTAATAATATGGATTTGGTTTGGGGAAGGGTGGGTCAAGATATTTTTGTTCTTTCTTATAAGCATGTTGTATTCATGTAAAAACTATGTCAGTATATTATTTTGACAAAAATAAAGAAATTATAAAGTTAAAATAGTACAAAGAGTAATTGAGCATGGCCAAGCAGAATAGCTTTAAAGTCAATACATTATAAAAATAATGTTCCTGCAAATATTATAATAAGTGCTTGAAAGGTGGGTGGTGAGTAAACAAGTAGCACTTTTGGTGAAATTTTGTTTTTCAGTATGTTTATATTTTATTAAATTTGTTTTTTAAATGTGTAAAATATGTACCAAAATGCAGTCTAATTTCTAAATCCTTTAAATACATAAAACACATTAAAGTACTTCAAATGAGCAAATTACAAATTCTAAACAAAAATCCATTGTTAGAAGGAGTGCCCTGATCCTTAGTTTGGAAGAAGGGGTTGGTGTGTAAAGGAAGAACCTAAGATAAAAAGATGAATGATGTCTGTCCAATATTCCACATGTGAGAAGAATCCTGTTCTTGATTACAATAATCCTGTTCAAAACACAATGTTGTCCTGGGTAGTTGGTCAATAAGCTAGCAAGCTCTTAGGTGCTTCTAGTGACTGCAGGTGTCAGAGCTACTTGAAACCCTAGGGTATTGATCTTATTGCCTTCCTGATGCACTTCGGGTTTCCTCAAAGTCGAATGACTCGCTCTGGAAATATTAAATAGTGAAAGCCCAATGAACCAAAACCACGATTCTCCAGCAATCAGCTGTATAGTTCTGTAGAGTGAAGAAACTGGGTAATCTGCTATTTCTTAAGTTGAGACTCACTAAGGGAGTAAGTGTCATTCAACATGGAAAAATAAATCACTTCACCTTTCAGGGGAGTTACAACAACATGAAAGCACGCAAACTAAAAGGGGAAAAAAGAACAATCAGAACATCAGCAGAGTTTTTAAAAAGACTCACAATCTTCTTGAAAATCTAATTTTAAGCCCCTCCTCACTCTGGTGCCTCAGAATCAGGTGCTTGTTTTTGGAAGGAGTTGGATCTGGCCTTGGGTCAGGAGAATGGTTTCTCGGTTTGCCTCATTATCCAATCAGTTCTGACCCCAGAGACAAATGGCTTTATTTGAAAGGTTTAATAGCAAGACGATCAGCCCTGCTAGGAACCATTTGGTGGAGATGAGGTAAGTCTATGCTTTAAAAATGTCACAGGTCAATGGCAGGAGAAAATTAAATTGGTTCTTTCTTTTTTTCCTCTCCGGCAGAAGTCCAATTAAGGTAAGACAATAATGTGGCTCTTCACAGGCGTCAGTAATGGGACTAAGACCTGCCTGCGTTCACATTCATAACCACTAATGAAAACTGCAAAAGCTACAAGCAGCATCGTTGCTCCCATTTTACAACTGGGGCCTCACTAAAGTTTCTGTGAACTGGTCTGATGGATTTGAATAAAGATAGCGGTGAGACAACAGACGGCGTCTCCCTTGAAAGACCACGGTGGAGTTCAAGAGGTGAAGAAACCAAAATCATCTGGCTAGAGAAAACAAAATCTTCTACAGACATCAGCCAGCCAGAAGCTAGGAAAGAATAAGAATGAGTGCCTGGCTGTCAGTAATTAATTTACTTACTAATTAGGAACAAAATCGCTGGAGCATTTCTCACAGTTATCAACAGAGTGTAACAGCTGGAACAGAGCACGACTTAGACGTCGTAGGTGCTCAGTCAGCTCAGTAAATACCTACTGTGTACAGTGACAGCATTTCAGAAAAGACATTGAAACAGCCTTTTTTAAAGGGTGCTAATGACTTTTGAAAAGGAGTTTCTCTACTTCCCTTGAAAAGTTAGCCTGGCTCATGCTTCCCTGTAGACCTCACCGGTTTCCCTATGTGGACCCTGCATGTAGTGACTGAAACTTACAGCCCTCAAGGCAATTCAGAAAGGAACCCTTTACTCTTTTTTTTTTTTTTTTGCTGGGGCTGGGTTTGAACCCACCACCTCCAGCATATGGGGCCAGCGCCCTATTC